GTCCAATGCCCCGACAAGCGAGAGCGGCAAGGTCAAAATCCCTCTCATCGACTTGCGCTACAAAGGATCGTCATTGCATATGGCAATGCCGGGTCTGATCTCCTAGGCGGTGCTCATTCAAGCTGAATGCTACGATGGTTACCTCCACCTCTTCAGTCGCCGACACTTGATGAAGAGGTCCCACTTATCTCATGCATGGTTCCAAGTTGCTGCATGTGCCTTTCCAGTAACAGTGCAGCGTATCGAACGGCAGCTGGGATAGCTCCTCCAGTTTGCCAAATGCTCTGAGAACGTTGCGTCATACGTGGGAATATACCTCCAAGCTGCAAGCCACGACCAGCTCGTCAATGCGAGGAGCTGACTATACCGATGGCAGTATTGATGTGCCGCTTGTGACACGCTACCATGGTACGTGGGGCAGGATGCTGGTTGACGGCACTGACAGCATAAGTACCACTTTCCGCTCACCCTCATAGCATATACATCTCAAACATCTTCACATCTCTCTCCATACCGCACATCATCACAATGACAGACACATTCGATACCACCGCCGATATCTCGCCAGAGAGGCTCACTATCATGAAGCTCAAGGCCAGTGGACTGCGCGATGTCTTTTCTGAGCCTTCCTCCCCCACAGGCAACCGATCTTTTTCATTCGCCAGTCAAGCAAATGGTGGCGGCCACAGCTCATCATTGACACGTCGAACGACTCGTCAGACCAGCTCATCCTCTCGTCGAGCAAGCAGCTTCCTCCAGTCGCATCGAAGCAAGATGTCTACAGAGCTCACATCACAAGCTGAGGGCAAATTCTTCGCCTTGATGGACCTCATGTCTACCGCCTCCCGAGAGGCTTCTTCGCTCAAAGAGTCATGGTCTCGTATCATGGCTGAGCGAGACAGTCTCTCCCGTGAGAGGGATGAGCTTCTCATTACCGTCGAGGAGGTGACGGAAGAGATCCAGCGCAAAGAAGCTGAACACTCACATTATGGTCATGAACACGGCGAGAGGAAGAGGCAGGTGGAGAAGCTCGTTCTTGAGCTTAACGCTGCCCTTACTCAAGTGACCGACCACAAGAAGAAGCTTGCCGATCGCGACCGCGACCTGGAGAACACCCGACATGAGCTACACGAACTTCAAAGCTCCATCACGCTCACTCATGGTGACCACGAGAGGACCAGGGCGGAGCTAGAGGCTGCGTACTCCAGGCTGAAGATCTGTGAAGGCGAACGCGATTCCGCTCGATTCGACTCAGACAAGCACCACAATGAGCTCAGGACACTTCTTCGTGAGCACACTGAGCTCAAGAGCAAGTACAACGAGACTACTTCCAAGTTTGAGTCTACTCGCAAGGAGGTCCTTACTCTTACCGACCGTATCAAGATGTTCGAGCTTGAGCGGGACGAACACCTCCACGAGAAGGATCGTCTGCACGAAGAGTTGAAGCGCGCGAAATCTCGCGTTGACGAGACTACTCGCGAGTACACTGAGCTCACTGAGCGACACGACCGTGTGCAGCGTGAGCTTCACAAGCTCAAGGAGACTGTCCGCATCATTGAGACAGAGCGTGATGACCATGCTTTGACCATTGACAACCTCCGCCGTGAGGTGAAGGCCAAGGCTCAAGGTTGGGAGGAGGCTGACGCCCGTGCTAACGAGTTCTCTCTCAAGTACGAGCACATCAAGCGCGAGGTTGTGTCCGTCAAGGAGAAGTTGAGGGACGTTGAGCTTGAGCGTACAGAGCTCCGAGACGCCATCGACCGCTCTCGCGAGGACCACCGTCTCGTTGTCATCGAGCGCGACCAAGTCAAGCAGGACCTCCACGACGAGCACCGCAAGGTGGAAGACGGCCACCGCCGCATCAACATCTTGGAAGACTCCCTCCGCCGCGCCGAGCTGACGATCACCGAGATCAAGTCGGAGATCCACACTCTGACCGAGCGCAACAAGGTGCTTTACCGTGAGGGCGAAGACTCACGCGGCAAGCACGGTCATCTCACCGGCGAGATCAGCAGCCTCCAGGAGAAGCTTGTCATCTTCCAAACCGAGATCACCAACCTGAAGTACGCTCGCGACCGCGCGCACTCCGACCTCAACGCCTGGAAGCACAAGTACGAGGAGATCACCGAGACCATCTCCACCTACGACGACTCCTCCGCTGAGTTCGAGTTCGAGATAACCTCACTCCGCACCCTGCTCAACGAGGCCCGCGAACAGAAGGAACGCGCCATCTCCGCCCGCCACGCCGCCGACCGCGAGCGCGACGAGTACATGGCGAAGTACGAGGAGAAGTGCCGCGAGATGGAGCGTTTCGAAGAGTCAGCCAGCAGCGTCTACCACGCCAGCAGCGGCGGCGGAGCCCGTGGTGGCTCCAAGATCTCCAGGGTAGTCTCCAGCGGTACCACTGTCCACAACCACAGCGCCTCTGGTGGTGGCCACAGCCACGGACACAGCCATGGGCATGAGCATGGCGAAGGGAATTCTATCTTCGCGCATTAGTTACGATGCCGATCGATTGGGGTTTCATTGCTGGACGGATTGGCGCATGATGGGTGAGGAGGTGAGGAGAAGGAGGGGTGTCTTTGAGACGAGTAGGCCGAGTAGGCCGGGTACTGCCGAGACGAAATTGAGTTGTTGAGGAGTCGTGCTGTATCAAAAGTTCAAAAGCCGGTATGGGTGGTAGGATAGTACTGTAGCCCAGGTGTAATTGTGAAGGTTCCAAGTTCTCAAGATGTGTGCCAGATGTGATTGCTGTGCTCCCTGTTGTTAGCCTCGTGGAGTGAGTCGTGGTGTATCTGTCTGTCATTGTGTGATGCGCGACCTGCTCAAGCTAGTAGCAACTCTCGTGATATGCATAAAGAAGTTGTTGGCAATGTGTATTCATGTATAGCAGAAGGCCGCTATAGACGTCTCGCGATGCAGACGCGTGCCTTCTGGTCAGGATGATGAGCACAGGCTGAACACAAACCCGTCGCTCGCCCCATTGACCCGATACCCTGCAAGCAATGAAAAGCTTTGTACAGGAGCTACGTGATATCAGAATGAATATGCTACTTCGCTTGCTCAGCAATGCATAACCAGAACAGAACCAGATATGTACCCTCCAGCCAGACACAAGTCGTCTAGCTGAAGATGGCAGCAGCCGCGGAAGGCCTGGGGGGAGTCGGGTTGAGAAGACCATCCTCCTCTTCAACATCGTCTTCAACATCGAGGGGAGGGCTGTCGTCGCGGACCACAATGTCGGTGTCGATGGTAGTGAGGAGGGTGTTGCCATCCGCGTCCGCCTCCATCTCGACGTCGTGCATGCTCATCTCAACGTCCTCGTGTACCGGCTCGATGTTCTCGTCGTTCTCGCCCTCCTCTGGGTACTGAGGCTCGTCGTTCTCGGGGAGCTCTTCGGGGAACTCGTCCTCGTTTGCCTCCTCAGGGGAGTCTTCGGCGTACTCGTCTCGCTCCTGCTGCTGCAGCGCGGCAACAGCCTGCATGTCTTCCTCGTCTTCAACGAGGTCTTGTTGACCGTTCATGTCGATACCGGCATCGCTGTCCTCTTGGTATTGATCGCGGTCCTGCTCTGAAGACACAAGCGCGTCCTGGGCATCTTCAACTTCAACGACTACGCCGTCCTCTTGCTCCTCTGCGGCAGGGGACTCGTCTGCTTCGATAAGGTCGTTGAGGTATTGGTCGATCTGCGCGATGTATCGGTCGGGGATTTGGCGCACGGTGTGGCCGCGCATCTTGCGAGGGGCTTGGGGCTTTGACGGCTTTGTAACCTGCTTTGGAGCAATGACAGCGACAGCGTCAGCGGCCTTGGGTGGCCGTCCGCGTCTGGAGGTTGGCTTTGGAGCTGGCTGAGGTGCTGGCTCGCTCTTCTTAGCTGGAAGTCGCGTACGCAACTTAGATCGCATGCGAGGATCGAGGCGGCGAGCGACGGGCTCAGGCTTGACAGACTTGACCTTGTTGGTGTTGCGAGGAGACGACCTCTTGCCGATGCGAGGGGAGCCAGCGACGCGGTGAAGGTCGACTGCAGCGCGCGCTGGACGGCCACGCTTGGGTGTAGCTGGAGCTTGCTCTGCAACAGCCTCTTTCTTGGGGCGTCCACGACTCTTGGCCGACGCATCTTCCTGTACGACGGCGTCCTTCTTAGGCCTTCCTCTGCCCTTCTTGACTGCTACTACTGCTGCCTCTTCGACAACGGGCTCCGGCGCAACCTTGGCCTGGCGACCACGTTTCTTGGGCTCCGGCGCGGCTTCGACGGGCTCTTCAGCTTGTGCTTTCGCAGGGCGACCGCGCTTCTTGGGAGGCTCAGCGATGGCGTCGGCAGCATCGACGACATCAGCTTTGGCGGCGCGACCACGCTTCAATGGCAATGCGACAGGCGCTTCTTCAACCGCGGCGGCGGCCTTGCCGCGAGGCGTACGTGCTTTCGGGGGCATTGCGGTGTCGCGATGGGTTCTGAGGGAATGCGCGATGGTGATTGAGTATCGTGGCGCGTTATAAAAACGCGTTGAGTTGTTTGGAGAAAGTCGCGTTGGTGTCGGTTGGTAGAATTGCGGAGCGCGCGTGGTGGAGTCGCTCTCACTCACTCACTAGCGCCGTCGCAGTGCACGTGTAGAAAGCCACTAAAAATGTTGTACCACTGGAACGTTGTCTCAGTATGGGCTTGGAGACCTGCCTTCACCTCCAAAAGCTCTTGTTGGGTGATACCTCAGTATTGGTAGTCGTTCCAGCCTGTCACTCCTGGATGCATGCAAAATGAAGTAGCTGGCGATGCGTTGGTAAGAATTACAATATATTACATGTAGCAAACTTGAACCTGCTCTAGGATCAGGCGCTAAATCTAAAGAAGGTCTAAAGTTGTCTAAAGAGGGAACTTTTAGAGATGAACAGAAAAGATAAACAAAGCCAAGACTCCAACAGATGACCAAAGTCCCCAATGTAGTTGTAAACAGTAGGCAAATTGGTTCCTGAGCGCCCAACAGCAGTGACACAAAGCCATCCAATTACTCCGCCTTCTTACTCGCCTTGGTCCTCAGCTTCATGAGAACATACACCAGCGCGTAACTCGAGATGGCGAAGATGACGCAGATCGCCGCGTCCCTCCATCCGTAGTAGTAGTCGTTCAAGTTGACCGTGTACAGGTAATCACTTCCTCTGGTGTATTGGCAGACTCTGCAGTCGGAAGTAGCATCAGGGTTGACGAGGTTCGTGCGACTGCCTGGTCCAGCCATCCACGCTGTCAAGTATTCGGAACATGTCTGGCCAGATGGGGGATCGAACATTGCAAACTCAGACTCGGAGCACTTGATCTCCCAGTCAAAGTCTGTGAAGACGAGCAACGACCCCATGAGGTAGTTGAAGGGGTTCATCCAGTAAATCCAGTAGCGCCAAAATTCCTGGATCTGCGCATAGGGCACAAGGACACCGCAGAAAGAGACGAGGACTCCAATGATGAGGGGGTTGACCAGCGAGGCAAATACAGCGTTCGGAGCGTACGCCGCAACGAACTGGCCGATACCCGTGTAGATGAACTGATAAATGAGCATGACGAAGAACACGGCGCCTGCCTTGTTGGAGTCCGACGGAAGACCAGCAGTGTAGTAGAAGCAGACGTAGTAGAGAATGGCGCAGATGATGAGGTACGGAATCTCGGAGACGACGAGGCCGGTGACGAAGGCGATCCAAGAGTACATCTTCGACTTCTTCTCACGTGTTTCGTAGATGTCGCGACGGTCGATGAAGAGGGGCTGTAGTTGTGCAATCACACCTGGTGCGACGAAGATGTAGTTGAACAGAGAGAAGAGGATGAGCTGCTGGTCGGCGACGGTGTTGCCAATCTTCCAGAAACTGAAACCAATCAAGAGTGCGGTACCGATGTGAAGGGCGAACTTGTTGTTAACGTAGTCGACGTTGCGGTACATGCTGACGTTGGCCCTGTTGGTGACAATCTTGGTTTGTGTCCAGAGACTCGTCGCGAACTCATGGCCGTCATCCGTGGTACCGGGCTCTTTACCAGCAGCGTCGGTGATGATATGGTCGAGGTCTTGGTGCATGCGTGCAGCTTCTGGCGAATCTAGCCAGACTTGGTGCCAATCTTTGCCCTGTGTACCTGTAACCACGTCGATCATGTGTTCTGCTGGGTTGGCACCCGGAGGGCATGGAGCATCGTATCGTTCAAAGTATTCCTTGATGGTAGAAGCGTTGTCACCGATGTCACCGAAGTACACGGTCTTGCCGCCCTTTGCGAGAAGCAGAAGAGTGTCGAATTGGGCGAAGAGCAGAGCGGACGGTTGATGAATGGTAACCAAGACGGCCTGGCCGACGTCGGCAAGCTTGCGAAGGAATCGAACGGTGTTGAAAGCGGCTTGGCCGTCCAAACCAGCTAGATAGTGTTAGCGATGTACTTGATAGGTGGTCACATATACTTACAGGTAGGCTCATCGAGGAAGATCAAAATGGAAGGCTTAGAAACAAGCTCGACACCAATAGTGACGCGCTTGCGCTGCTCAACCGATAATCCGGCTCCAACACGACCGATCAATGTATGTTCCAGGTCGTGTAGCTCGAGCAGATCGATGATAGTGTCGACGTAAGCCAGCTTCTCCTCGCGTGGGGTATCGCGGCTTTGACGAAGGAGGGCGGAAAACTCGAGTGCTTCCCGGACGGTCGCGAAAGGCTCGTGGACATCGAGTTGCTCGCAGTAGCCCGCGGAACGTTGGAATGAAACAGGAAGTGGACGGCCGTCGACGAGGATCTCTCCATGGATAGTGCCATCTGTCTTTCGCTGAGCCAATACATCCAAGAGGGTTGTCTTGCCAGCACCAGATGAGCCCATCAAGGCTCCCAACATTCCCGGCTTGACGTAGCCGTGAACATTATCCAAAAGCGTGCGGTCACCAGATGGAGTCTTGACAACGTATGATAGATTGCGCCAGGTGAAGACAGAGGTGTTGCGCATGAGGTTGGCACTCAAGTCCTGGGTCTCAGTAGCCTTTTCGTCGGCGCCGTCGGTTCTGGGGCTCTTCTCATTTGCTTGAGCTTCTTCGTCGCCAGGTGTGATAGAGCGTGGGACCTTCTTCTTGTTCTCGCGGGGGATTAGGAGAGCGCCTCCAGAGCTGGCTGAGTCGTCCCATCGGAGTGTGAAGAAGATGGTCAGGCCCACGAAGAGGAACCACCAGGCAAACAGAATACCGACGTTGCGCCAGATGTGGCCCTTGGCGTAAGAAAGGCTCTCCAGGTAATCGTCACCACTGACCGAGGTAGCTCCAGGCTTAGCTCCGCCAACACCTGCGCAAGCTTGGTTGACGCCGTTTTGGTATTGAGGAAGGAAGTTCGGAATGAGGTTGTTGTTGACACAAGGGATGTCTTGACCAGAGAACTCGTTCGCCATCAGAGACTCGAAGCCATAGCTCAAAGGATCAATCCAGTAGATCCAAACGAACCATGGATGCATCGCGGGCTTCGGGATCTGGTATCCGATGTAGAGAATGAGAGCTGTGATGGAGAAACCCGAAACCTTGGAAGCGGCGTCGAAGTTGGGGAAGGCGGCGCCGACCATGCGGAAGAAGGCAGTCATGACGAAGGTGACGACGTATACGACGAACCTGTCAAAGCGTGTTAGTACGACTCATGTGTAAGATAAGCTTCCATCGCCTACCATGCAGTAAAGAAAGCAGCAGCTGTAGCCTTCAAAGCCACCATCCAATACAGCACTACCATAAACATAGTGACTTGGAACAGTAGAATCGGGACATCGGCTGCGATCTGGGCGATACAGAAAGCTGCCGGGTTGTAGAAAGCGAAGTTCTTGTGTTTGGCGAGGATAGGGCGACCGAAGAAGCTGTCCGTAACCTCCGACATGGCTAGCAATGCGTTGAAGAGGAGAGCCAAGAAGAGAGCTCCTCCCTTGACGAACAGACCAGAAGAGGTCGCGGGGGCGTTGTAGAAGAGCGAACCGGCGATCTAAGAGCGGAGTCAGTCATAAATTCGAATACATCTTGTGACACTGCATAGTAGCTCGGAGTGGAATGGTGAGACTTACGAGTGCCTGGAAGAGTGTAGAACCTTGCTTGATGATGAACGTCGCTTTGTCTCCCCAGAGGATCTGGTATTGCCGAGCCACACAGGCTTTCACCTGGTTATAGAACGAGACTGTCATGGGAGATGATGCTGGAAGATGCTTTGACTTGTCTATCGCCATAGCTTCGACAAAGGACTGGGTGTTCGACTTTGCGGCGTCACTTGTGGGATATGACAGTTCTTGTTCCATGGCAGCCTTGATGGAAGACCGTTGGTAGGCCTGCTCTAGCTCAATGTTGTTGCGTGGGAAGCCTTCAAATCCGGATCTGATCTGTCGCTCAGATGGTACTGTCACACCAGTGAGGAAGTCGGCAACGTTCGCACCCTCGCTGCATACGAAGCCCTGCTCTTCCATGAAGGGTCGAGCTTGTTCGCGAGTGCCGTAGAAAACTTGCTTGCCCTCGTCGAGCACGAGGACTTTGTCGAAAAGGTCGTAGATACCGTTGCCTGCCTGGTATAATGTGACGATTGTAGCAATGCCCATCGCGTCTGTCAAGCATCTGAGAGCACGAGTGTACTCTAGAGCAGTGCTTGCGTCGAGACCACGTGTGGAATTATCCTGTGTCATGTCAGCGTCCATCATTGCGGATGCGAAAGAGCTTGTTGTCCTCAGCTTCATGGATGGTTGGTGAACTTACCCAGCAGGCTACGCTGGCGCGATTGGCCAAAGTCTCGATAATAGAGACTCGTTTGCGCTCTCCGCCAGATACACCGCGAACAAAGGCGTCGCCAACCTTGGTGTCCTCGGTGTGAGATATTCCCATAGAATCCATTAAGAATGACTTGAACTTCTGGCGATACTCCTCGGGAGTGGCGGAATCCCTCGGAAGAGTACGTGGGATGTTCAGTCTTGTAGCGAAGTCCATGGTCTTGCCTACTGTGAGCGTAGGGAAGAAAAGCTCCTCTTCGGTGTTGATGACGATGTTGCCGCGATATTTTTTGGCTTCCTTGGCGTCCATCGAGCCAAAGTGCACATCGCCTTCGACTTGTGCGTACCCCTTGCGCTTGTTGGCGAGCATCTTCAGTAAGGTGGTGCATCCAGATCCAGGCCTTCCCAGCACCAGCAGCATCTCGCCCGGCTGTACGCTGCCGAAGCTGTTGTCGAGAATGGTCTTCAGTTCTGGTTTTTGTCGTGACTCCTTGATCTGCTGTGGAATGTTGAACTGGCTGAGCACATTCTCCTGCAAACGTGCGTCTGAAGGCACCACTTTGACAGTGAGCCCGCTCCATGTAACACCAAGTCTTCGTCCATCGGTTGGATCGTTTTGCTGAAGATCCTTCACATCGCTTGCCAGCCTCCATTCATCCACCTTGGTCTTGGCGGAATCGCTGTCTGCACTGTCGTCTTCTCGTTGGATGTTCTCGTCTTGTCTTGATTTGCCGGAAAATGTGCGGGATAGTGTTCGCATGATGTCTTCACCAGCGCCGGAAGGTATGTTCATACCGCTGCTCCTCCTACGGCCCTCCATTTTGGCGTTGATCGAACAGTCCGTCCAGGATTCTCGTCTTTCTGAGATGTGATGATGATAGCGACTAAAGATCGGATCCCGGAATTAGAGGTGAAAGCTTCAAGCAGGTACTACTCAAAAGAATATTGGGGTTGTAGTGATATACATGAGCCTATGGGGACTGCTGTGGGTCCTGATCGATTAGAAAAGTCTAGGGAGAGTCGGGCGTCGACATTAGCGACTCCGAGCTTACTGACGTCGCAGGCGCAATTGCGTGCATTACTTCCTTCAACGGACGAAGCAGGGGCTCACACGAGGCAGGAAGCCACGGGCACCGACTGCTGCGGAACGACTGCATACGGCCAAAATTCGGTCATCTTGATTGGTTCAAGAGGCTATCCAGGCAGCAAGTGCAGATTCGGCAGTCTAGACTGCCCTGATGCTAGATTCAGGGTCAACTAGAGACAAAGTCCCTGCTTCCTGTACTGGGCGCTGTTGTAGCGGGGCGGAGCTGAAATTGGTCCTGATAGCGTTTCTTAGCGGATGGTTTGAGGATCGATTCGGGCTCGGCCGAACGCCTGAAGCACCGAAGAGCGACCCAAACCCGTGAAAACGGTTCCACCAGGGCCTCAATGTGTCGGACATGCTCTCCGCGAGGTTTCAACTAATCGTAAAGACAGATTTGTAGCCATCGGCGTGTGGAGGGCCACACTAAATTGTCGATGTGCTCTTAATGCTCGCTGTTCGTACCTTCGAGTGACCGGCTTGTTGTGCGAAATCAGTATCCACACTCAACAGATTGCCGCTTTGCCTGATCACAAATCCTACGCGTTTCGACGCGACAACCTTACTTTCGTACATGTCGTACATAGTACCGTACGTACCGTACATTGCTTGTACGAACATGCGGGCGAAAGGTTGTACCGGTCGCGATCAGGGCCGATTACAGCGTGCGCTCAAGTACCGAGCGATGCGTCATGAATTTGTCGAAGCACGACACCGCTCGCGCGCAAAAGACCGAATACCGATGACGACAGTCAGCAACGCTTACGTGTAAAGACGTTTTGCTGTTCCATGGATGGCGGTGCAGAGCGGAAGTGCGGAATGTGTCTGGAGGCAGAGAGCGGGTTCCGCGGCGTCCGAATTCGAGATGGCGCCAAGGTACTTGGCATTAATTCACTCACCAGATAGCAGTGCACGTTTCAATGCTTTCGCTTGAGATTCAAATAGACGACTAGTCTAACTCACGAGGAAAGTGTTACAGGGTTAGTATACAGTAAGGATCTTTAGATACCGGTTAGCAACTTTTCGTCCCTCAGATGCGCGCGCGGACGTCATCGCATGCGACCCCGATCGTCGGGATCGGACGGCGTGCACAGTGGCTGCCGTCCCGTCCCAGGATATGCCCATGGCATACACGCATCCTTGGACGCCAGCAGCTGACACGCCTTGTCGTATACCTTGCACCATCATTGGGCACTCGAACAGCTCCAAATAAAGCGCACCTACCTGAACGCCTGAGGGGTCACATATTGTATACTAAGGTTAGCGGAATTCCTGGAAGATACCGCAGAAATTAAGAGAAGGGTTGTTCACCGTCATCTCTGTGAATGCTGCTATACACTGTCGTCGGCCTCCATATATGAGCAGACAGTGGAGGTTAAGATGCCACTAACCTTGTCAAAGTAAAGTTGCATGCAGCATGCTTTTAAGCGAGCAAATTTTACCAACCCCTCGTTCTACTCCACGAAGAGACTCATCCCATGCCGTCGTTGTCTATGCAGACAGCATGGTGGTACGTTCGAGGATATGTAATGTTTTGTGAGCCGAACTTCCATCAAATCACGTGAACCAATCCTTCACTCTGATCTTCAGCATCGGTGGTTTAGTGGTAAAATTAGCCGTTGCCATCCATCTTGGACAGTTTCGGCTAGCCCCGGGTTCGGTAAGTTTAGATCGTCCACTTCATTCGATCCATTGTTCTAACAACACGATAGATTCCCGGCCGATGCAACACTCGCTTTCTTTTTGCTGCCACCCATCTGTGTACGACAATAATTTTTGCTCTTGTTTCATCTCAATTACTGCGGGCTGTACCCAGCACATTGCAGAGAGCGCGTTTAAGGCTGCAACCAATGCGATCTAAAAGCTCGTCCGCACTAGACAGCTTTACGCCTCGTTTGTGTTAACCGCGCTTCCTTTCTAGTAGGACGGACGAGGTGGACTGAAAAGCGATATAACTTCCAATATTCTTACAATACCTATCACCATGGCGTGTAGCAATGCCAGCTCTCTTCTTCGCCTGCCCCGCGAACTGCGCGATCGGATCTACACATACGCCCTTCACGAGTCAGACGGCCTCATTTTCCACCGCGAAGATGACTACAAGGCATACTTCTGTACCGATTGGCGTCAACCACGGGAAGCCAATCAGCTTCAGTACACCTGCTGGCAGCTTCGCTCGGAGACACTCAAAGTCGAATGGCAGCTGAACGACCTTGTCTTTCTGAACCACCCGGAACGGCGTGGCAAGTTTACGACAAAAACACCCCCTGTACAGCTCCTAGGCTTCCTGGACATGTGCAGCGAAAGTTGGAGACAGCGAATCCGTTGCATCGTTCTGTTGGCTCAAGACCATTTTGGGGACTACGGCAGCCTCTCAGATCTACGTCAACACGTCTATGATGTAAACCTCGTCGCTCTCACCTGCGAGAATTATCCTCACATGACCGTCAGATGGCACCTCGATCTTGGACAGAACTCGCTGAGCGATCTTATCATGTACGGTCTCGTAGTAGTACGAGGTCTTCGTGGCAATGCCGTCGCCGTAGAGAATATTCTCGAAGAGCTGGGAATGAAACCCGAGTCTGTCAGAATGGGGACATTCTTGCAGTCTTGGTGTCGTGAATGGAGGCGCTGCTGTGGTTTCAATGCGTACGAGAACGTACTTCCGGCGCGAAAATTCCGTATTGTTCCTTTCGGTGAGATCATGGACGCGGAAGACCTTCGCATGAAGATGGGCTGGCGCAAGGCTGAAGATGAACCAACTCACTGGGATGCTCCAGGGGCCGTAGGTGCTCACTTCTTTGAGAAACGTCTTGCCCTTGCGATGGAGTGGGCAAAGAACGGGTTCTGAGACAATGGCCTAGCGCTCACACAGTTTGCCGGTATCTAATGCTTCCGTTCTGTACACGACAGCATCACTGGCTCAGAGTTCCGTAGTAAGCTCATGCAGCTGGGACATGGTGTTCTGCAGGTTGTGCGTTTCCTGGCCGGGGCATAACGAGCGGATGCGCACTTCCTTCCTCGAACCGTCAGGGTCTGGGACATGGCTTGCTTGCAGAATCATCTGCACACTTTCATGGTCAGACACTGGAAACAAGTCGACAAGCGTGTGATCCGGAGCAATCGTGAATTCCTGTATAAAAGGGGTGAACTTCACTTCTCAAAATTACCTCGCACATTCCCAATCTCAACTCAATATGTTGGAACGCGGTCAGCAAGTGAAAGCAGCAGCAAAGTGCGACGAGATCATTCAGTTCATACCAAATGGACCTGGCACTTTCTATCAGGATAAGCAGGGCGCAAGAGCCAAGCCTAACGAAAGACTCAAGAAGGTATTCGGTATCGACAACGCTTTCACCAACCCTGAATGGGGTTTCAAGAAAGCTTTCACCATGAAAACCGAAGACCTGATGAAGAGCGCGACACGATGGACGGATGAGAATAAAGATGGCGACTGGTCAGGCCTGCGCGACCAAGCGATGACCTTCTTCGACGAATACAAGGAGAGAAAGAGCGACACAACGGTCGACTTGGCCGAGCTGACCCAGTACATCGTCTTGAAGCAATCGCTTTGTTATCTCTTCAAAAACGCTCACGCAGCACTAGAAGCCCAGGACCTCTTCACGGACATTACGTACATCGGCCATCGAATCAATGAACTATGGATCATGAGCAAGATAGCTGAAACGCTTCCCGATGACCAGCAGCCGGTATGGGAGAAGGAATCGGCTCTACACAAAGCTTTGCGTCGCGTGACCAAGTCTCCAGTACCGGGTGGTTTCGACTCCGACTCCAATTCTGACGTTGATCCAGAGGTGCCGGAAGCGAACCCCATGAACTTCTTACTCCCCGCTTACGAAACTATGTGGCGCGTTGTCTTACGTTGTTTCCTGGAGATCAAGCATCGAGGCGCAAGCGGAGGTCCGGCGTGGACAAAGAGCTTGCTCCAGTATCTCGATGACTTGAAGGATGCCACAAACATCAACCCGACGAAGGCTTTCCATAAGCCTACCGATAATCCGACTGAGACCGATATTGACAAGATACGGCCCGTGGAGATCGTCAAGGAAGCTCTGCGACTTTACCCTCCCACGCGTCGTGTACATCGCGTATTCGATGGTCAAGCGCAATCCGCCGATATTGAGACTTGCCAAAGGTTTGAAATACTCGGAGGTAACGATCCCCTTGTCTATCGACCTGAGAGATGGCAAAGCATATGCCTGGAGGCAAGGGGAGACTTCTATGAGCAGCAGGGAAACTATAAGATCATCAAGGACGCCTTGAGGTCAGCTGAGGCAAAGGAAGGACACATGCCGTTCGCGCATCACTGCGCAGCCGATCATTCCAGTACAAGGGAGTTTGCCTCTAAGATGATCGCGCTGCTGGTAGCAGTCCTCTGTCATGGACTTGGAGATGAATGGGTGTTGGAAGATGCCGAGATCTTGCCACCTATTGGCACACCTCTTGATTCTGACCGCTCCGCATACGAGAAGCTGATGTTGAAGCGCAAGACTTAGTGGACGATGAAGCACGGCACACAAATGATGGTCAGACGGAGAGTGTAGGACATGAGAATCATGGGGAGAGGTGATCTTACGGTTAAAGACAGACATCGATGCAAAGCATTCTGAAGCGCTGGGTATCCACTGTGAGTTTAGTAGCCCGTCAATACACACATGGAAACACTCGTTGCCCAACTCCCATGTTCCCAGCTATCCATTTGTCGTGATTGTCGTGATTGTCGTGATTGTCGTGATTGTCGCCATTGTCTGTATATCCCACAGATGTCGGATGATTATTTGTCGACCGCAAGCTTACAGTAGCAAGCTCGCATTTATACCTGGGTTTGCTCGCGGTTGCCGGAAGGACGTACGGTTCGCAACATGCACCCGGTATCTACATCGTGTGGAAACTGAGCGCGCCTTACCTCTTTGAGTGCGGCCCCCGGTATAGGTTCCTGGAGAGTATATGTCGATTGATCGTCTTTCATTCACCGTGTTGTCTTTGTGCACATGACAAAGGCTCGTGCGCACTCGTTGTGGTAAAACCAACTCCTACTCAGCTTGCATGCCAGCTCTTTCTTCTCATCGATGTATCATCGCCCCATTTCCAAATCACGTCTTCAAAGCCACATTATCTCTACACCCCGAACGAATCTACTATCACACAGCCTTGACACAGAAAGCTGCAAGCGCTCTCGCCATGTCTCATTACACGCCTCAAACCACCAAGGCCAAGTCCCATATAGCTCCGCTCGTCAAAATATACGTCTGGCGGTGTCCGAACGAGAGCTGCAGTCACGCCAACGAGACAATAGCTAGCGAGGAGGGCAGAATTAGAGTAATATCGAGTGGTAACGAGCTCCGAGAGCCCATGTGGTACACTAGGAAGTGCGAGAAGTGTAGCGAAGAAGCTGGTAGGGGATGCTGTCTTCTCGAGGTCAAGCTCCTTCCGCCTAAGGATGAAGCGAAGGTGAAGAGGAAGAGGAAGGCGCCAGTGGAGGAGGACATCGAAGGGGAGCACTGAGGTGATATGGCATCTACTCGGAAGCTCAATCTATCAATTTTGCTACGTCGACGAAGTGTATGCGGCTTGATGTAGTAAGAGTTGAGGGATTCACCTGCTGGGGCGCCCATGTCGCCTTTAGGCTGGTTGATGGTCTGAGAATGTCATCGTCTGCAACACACGATAAGTTCCTTTGTTTTCTAAGCATGGTCATGATGACCGATATCTTACGCGAGATGGGTCAGATCGCGATGTGAACCTTAATCACTTGTATCGTGGAGAACGCGTCTAGATCTCCGATGCTCCCGAGGTCGGGTTCACGCGTCGTGCTAAGCCGCATCCGTCTTCGCGCGTTCTACGGACGCGCAGGCAGGCGCAAACCTCTACTGATGTACCGAGCCAGAGCTATCAACACCCATCGACTGTGATTCACCTGTAAGAACTGGAAGCTTGTGGGGTAAAGAAAAGGTTGTATTGGCCCCAACACTCGGTTCTAATAAAAGCAGGTAAAGAGGGAGCCATCTCTTGCGGCCCACGTTCACCCTCATTGCGCAGCCGCCACAGCTTTCAAGTTCCTGCAGCTGATTACACATCATCAAATCCAGCAGTGCGGCTTCCAAGGTCATTTCTCCGGAATGGCTCCTCCAGCGTTCGGCGCTGCACCATTGCCGACGTGGGATATGGGGCCAAGATGCAATGCCGAAACATGGCTTGTCCTATTTGAGTTGCCATTGGTTGGCTAAATGCGCTGCACGGGGCTATGGACACCACCTGCACTCCCACGACTCTCCATCAGCATATCCGCGCCAGCAAGAGTGAGCGATTATTGTCGTGGCGACCTGTCATGAATCGCTCTAACAATACCTGTTCCTTCGGCAAGGCTGTGGAATACTCAGGCGTTTGTTAGGTACTGCCAACACGGAATGTACCTAGGTATCGCGAATCCATCGCACATCGGCATGTGCAAGCGAACATGGGCAATCATGCACAGAAAAGGTGGTTCAAGACACCGCCTTTCGGCACATGCTGGGAGGGGCCGCTCCTCAATGCGAGACTAGCCCTGAAGCAAGCAGGATGAGCGTTGAAAGTCGCAAGCGAGGAACCAGTGGAAGGGTTCGTCCGCGTTCGCGCAGCGACTCCAAGATGGCATGCGCCTCAACGGGAGCCGCACCTATTCCCGCCTTTCCCGCCTATAACTCACGCCACTCGAGTCAGTAATCTCCCGCCCGAGCGGGCTATCATCCATGGCTCATGACTATTCGCCGTCTTATGCGTGCCCAAGCGATTCAGGCGGCAAGGGCGAGGAACTCATGATAGGCTCAATTGAGGCCTTGCTGACGGCCGCCTCTAGAAGTAAAGGGTCGCATCGACAGGCAAGGAACCATATTCAGGCTCGGTAAAGGAATGTCATCTCATCATGAGTCTTGCCTCTCCTCAGAACCCGATCCCTGTCTTAAGAAATCCTTCCCCCAGTTTTCATCGACTCTTTCCTATCCAAATTGAGAGAATGAAGCACTGTGCAGAGATGCTGTGCTTACTCCTAAATCACCATCTTTTCAAAGAATGCACACTTCATATAACACAACCTACCGAGTGGAGGTTTTCTAGCGCACCAGTTCGCCCACTTTCTTTTGCAACGACCCACTAAGATGTCTGACCCGAATGCGACGCTCATCGAATGTCGCACCGAGTACGCGATTGGGAGTGCCATCATCGCTGCGAGGTTCTTCACCAGATGGAAGACATTGGGATGGAGAGGCCTCTACTGGGACGACGCCTTCGCATTCACCTCGTGGATCTTTTTCACTTTGATCTATGTTATGGTAGAGTATCTCAGTAAGTTGACTACCGCAAGTCTTTCGGTATTGAATCACTCGACTAACGCCACTCCAGATGTAATGGGTGCGCCTATAGCCATGTCTCAAGAGCAGCGTGAAGCGCTTCCACCTGCAACGCGAAAGTCGATGCGGGAGGGCGCAAAGGGAATGTTCGCCTCTTTCTACTTCTTGATCTTTCTGGTCTGGGGTTTGAAAGGATCTCTCATTATCCTGTTCCTCCGTTTGACGTAAGTTCATATCTGCTTCCAAACAACTGAAACTCATTCGTCGGCGCAGGAGAAGCACCAGGCTCTACTATTATGTACAGGCCGTGGCGGGTATCTCGGTTGCTGCGTGTATCGCCGCCATCATCACGCAGACAACACACTGTTTGCCCTTGAAGAGAAACTGGCAGATTCTTCCTGACCCAGGCAAGGAGTGTTCAGCTGGCATTGTGATCAACATCGTGATCGCTGTCGGAAACGTCTTGTGAGTGTCAATATGGAATCCAGTGGTTGCAAGCTGACGCATTGAAAGTGTAGATGCTTTGCTGCTGGTCGTACCTTTGTGGATGTTGAAAGATGCGAAGATCAGCCTCTGGCGGTAAGTCCACGCGCGACCTTGACAGAAGCCAAAGCTAACCGGCATCACAGCAAAATTCGCGTGATCTTTCTCCTCTCTCTCGGTCTCTTCGTTATGGGGATGGCGATCGCTCGCTGTATCCTATCTATCGGCTCTTCGGTTGAGGTCGCTCTGTCCTCAGTATGGGCACAACGCGAAGCTGTAAGTCTCACTACCTTCGGCATGCAGCATTGCGATGATATCTAACAACTTCGAACAGATAGTGTCCATTTTTGCAGTCAACGCACCCGTCATCAACAGCCTGTTCAGAGCAGAGACGTGGAAGACACGGCACTCTTCCGATGGCTACGTATCGAAAGAGTCCAACCGATCGCGATCGAACACGAGTACATTGGAAAAGATGAAGAAGAAGAAGACTGGCTTCGAGATCTACAAGATGACGGATATCGAGACGAAGATGACAGACATCGAGACAAGCAGCAAGGAGAGCATGGAGGAGCTGTTCAAGGACCCCATGCTGTCTCCAGTGCCCTCTCATTGGAGATGTTCAGCGCGTGGAGGGAGTCAAGATGGTCGTCCTGGAAGTAAGAGCATGGTTTGAACGATGTCAGGGCGAGATATGTGCCCCTTGGGCTATCGCGACAGCGTGCCGTTTGGCGCTATTCTACAGCATATAGCTTTCCTCCGCGGAGAGGCGAGGACGTCATGCACGGCTTCTGCAGAAGCTCCTGATGTTAACAGCGATTACATATTTTTAATAGAGACGACACACATAACTCGCAACTTTCGCTTCCATCTAGAACACCTCGTTACAGCTGACGGCGACTTGATGCCCACGACAGTCAAAATCATCCCACTTGAGCCGTTGAAATTATGACCTGCAAGATAAGGCCAAACCCAGCAATAGCAGCCACGACGGTGTCCCGAATTGAGTCATGGGCATGTGTTAACGTACGCTAAGGATCAACTCCCTGAGCAACCCCACATGTGCCAAACTCTTATTGCCGTCCGCGGTAGGCGACATCCCGTGGGATGACTGGGGTTTCTGGGAAGTGGACCTGAAGAGTCGTGAATTCGTGAACGTGTAGTAAACAACGATGAAGCATGAATCATGTCGACGTTCCTTAAGTACTGTTCGCTATCCGTCCCTGCGGAAGACTATCATCTTATACGCGAATCTAAACACCACCGAGCATACACAACATGACATCTATCACCAGCACCCTAGACGCGATCAGCCCCTCCCAATTCTCCACGGATGCCGAGCGCTTCGAAGCCAAGGAAGCAGCGCGCCGTCTTCTAACACGCCTCGAAACGCCATTCGAGCAAGGCTGGAGACTGTCTTTTGAGACACCGGTGCTCGTAGCCGGTGTCCAGACTATCCTCGATCTCGGCATCTGGAAGAAATGGATGGAAGCCAACAAGAAGAATCCCGGTGCGCCAGTGCACTTGGATCAATTGCTGGAGTGGGCGAATGCGAAGGCTGATCCGAACTTGTTGCGTGAGTTTATGTCATTGCGAGAAAGCAGTGTAATGCTGATTTGTGGGCTATAGGAAGGTTTCTGAGGCACATTGCTGCTCTTTATGTATTAGAGGAGACGGATGTCGATATATGGAAGCCTACACCCTACTCGCTTTCTCTCGGCGACACGGTATCGCATACCGACCAGATTACAAAGTGCGGGTATGTACAACCCAAGCCCCCGATCTACACTCAAAGGCATCCAGCTAACCCAAGTCCAGCATCGACCATACCATCCCCACTGGATGTAACCTCCCCGGCTTTCTCAAAAAGTACAACTACCGCGAACCCATCGACCTCACCCAGCTCGACAACTACCGCGACATGACCAACGGAACAGACTTCTTCGCTACTTGCGCAGCGGATCCGCAAGGAAAGGGAAGTAGTTTCATGGGTCTGATGACCGCGTTGCGAAACCACAAGATGGATTGGACGGACGTGTACGACACCAAGCGAATCGTAGATGGCGCAGAAATAGAAACCGGAAAGCCGTTGTTCGTGGATATTGGGGGTGCTCACGGCCTCGACACCTCGCGCCTGCTAGACAAGCATCCCGATCTGCCCGCTGATGTCTTGATCCTGCAAGATACCCCAGAAGTCGTAGCGATGCCGATCGAAGACCTGGACAAGAGGATCGTGAAGCAGGCTTACGACTTCTTCACCCCGCAACCCCAATTGCATGCGCGTGCCTACTTCTTCCACGCCGTACCGCACGACTGGCCTGACGCGGACTGCGTACGTATGTTCTCGCAAGTCGCCGCGGTGTTCAAGCGGGGATACTCCAAGCTCTTGATCTACGAGGTCGTGTTGCCGAAGAAGGGTGCGACAAACTTGATGACGACGCTTGATCTGCAGCTCATGAACTGTACAAGTGGAATGGAGAGAACGGAGGAGCATTGGGCGCGGTTGTTGAAGGAAGCCGGGTTTAGGATTGTGGAGATAAGTCGGCATCCGAGAGCGGTGGAGAGCGTTATCGAAGCGGATTTAATGTAGTTGTGAGCTTGTCGCTCCAGATAAGTTCGAACTTCAAACTTCCATGCCAGTTGAATGCATACCCTAATCGCATGATTTTTCCCATGCAGCCTAGCCTCTTCAGTTCTGCTTCGAGGTCTCCACTTCCTGTGGAAGTAGGAAACACAATGGTATTTAATGTCAATGGCATGTACATGGTTTCGCATGAAACCATGTGGCAGGTTTGTAGCAATCCGGCACCAATTTTGGAGACGTCAAATCGACCGTGCTGCTTGTCGTAGGGTAGGCGATTTGTCTCCGAAGTGAGAGCGTAGATGTAGATCATGTTGCGGATTTCGCCTGGGAGGGAAAGGAACGGTGATGCTGAGACCGCGGCTTGGTGTGCGGCTGGAGTGGTGTGAGAGGAAACCGGACCCAGGATCTTGAGGTGAGTTTTTGGTGGTCGTCTTCTAGGCTTGGAGACCTTAGACGGATTTTTGAAGGAAGATCGTGTGGTTGTGGAGGGGTTGTGGCCGTCTGGCTCAGAATTTCCGATCGTGACTGATAAATCCTGGGAGAGCTTTGAGGCATACGAACCCTCCCTCGTCGGACTGTTGCAGGATGTGTGCATGGTACTGAGGAAGTCGATGTGTGGTGCGATCGTGTTAGTGTTGGGAAGAGGATGATGTAGGCTCTAGGGTTAAATAAAAACCGTCAAGAAGTGAGTAAGAAGTTGCTTGTAATCTGCAACGAGCATTATTATTTTGCTATTGTTCGAGTTGGACAATAGCATTATGGGTCACTGCTCGCTACCATACCGCGGCGACCAGTTCACCTTCACTTCTGCCACTGTCATTGCCTGCAATAGTCAGCACGGGCCCTATTGCAGCACTCAAACGCAATACTCACAATTTGACTGGTCCGAACAAATTTCGTACTTGACTTGCGCCCGCCCTCAAAGACACTCCAGGCATGGCGCCATGCGTACGCAGGCCGCAACTCGCAGTGAGCGCGCGCGTCTTGAGTTACACGTCCATAGTCGGCACCATCAGCTCCTTCAAAGCGTCACCGCGCTCTTCTGGCCCGCAAACGTACTCTCCTCAAACTCGATCTTCGTGATATGCTGCCCAGGCACAACGATGAGTCCGACGTAGCGACTGTTCCAAGCGACAGATGCAGATGGATTTCCCGACTCTTCCACCGCCTTGCGAATCGTCTCGGCTGATGGCGCACGGTACTCATGTGCGAGTGCAAGAATGACGTTACGGTCCTATGTCAAGTCAATACAGCAGGACTCCCTACACGTCATAACCTCGTACTTTGTCTGTGCATTTCATCTGGCCTCCGAATACTCGCCCATCACTGGCGTGTATGCGCAAGTTCTTCCCGATGAACTGGCTCAGCCAGAAGGTGGCTTGCTCGTTGTCCATCTTGGTGGTCTTGTTCGCTCGAGGGAAGAGCCAGCTGTAGCGGTTGATCCTCCTAGGGGCTAACATTTCGCTTGCTGGGAAAGAGGGACCGCAATGTGGCTGTGTAGCACCTGAGGCTGGAGTCGTGGCTGCCCTGTCGGAGAAAGAGAAAGTGCCGCCGACGTGGCTTGGCGCGTTTGACGCGTTTGCGCCAAATTTCTGGACTTTGCCCACGCCATGCGACCAGGGCATTCAGCACACACCATACCATGTATTCAATACGGCGGGGCTGCCAATCGGCATTGCTGCGATCAGACAACATCTGCCTCTACGCCAATGGCTCAAGACGCGCATTCTCGCGCACTGCGGTGAGCCAAAGAGGTCCGCATCACTCCCGAATCGCCTTCGTATATACACTCTACTAATGCGAACATCAGGCGCTCTCCCCAATTTCCTCCCACCATCTTCTCCCGAACTATCCAAGCTCTTATCGACCTTCAACTCCCAAATCCTCCTCCCCGAACACTTGACCAAAGAGCAACAGAAGCTCGTGTACTCGCAAGAAAGCCGCGCAAAACTCGAAGCCGAGCCTATAGAAATTACCTTGGGAGAGGTCACCCTGCCTCTTGAACACCTCGACCGCAATAGGCTACCGAATCGTTACAAGCGGCTCAGGGAGATTTGTAACCAAAGCGAAACCAAGGAGGACTGGGAGAATGTTGTCAGATGCTTGGAGGGATTCCAAGAGGCCGGGATCAAGGTCCACTGGCAGTGGCAGGAGCTCGTTATCAGGAAGTTGAACCTTGCAGGCATGCAGCATCTTGTTCTGAAGGCGTTGCAAAGAGCAAAGGAAACCGGCGTCAAGCTGAACAATTACGGTGTTTTGCGTGCGGTGTTGAGGACTGTGCACGACAAAGCGGCTCTGGCCGATTGGGCACAGGACGATACAATCAAGGCGCACAAACTGGCGAAGCAAGTTGTGGAGCTCATGGAGGATGAGGAACACTATGTAGGCAAGAGACCGGTGAAACCGCGCGGAAAACCAGACAAGTTTGCCGAAGGCGACTACAGAGGGAGGCCATCTGTGGTTGCGCTGCCGACAGAAATGGCTGCTGTACTCGCCGACAGATACGGTGGAGACAAAGAGGAAGTCAAGACACTTTCTAGCCGCCTGGTCCACGCGTTACAGCAGAGCGGATACACGGTACATCTTCCCCCATTATCTTTCTGCATATGCGGACCAATACTGACAAAACGTTACAGACATCACTAGATGCTATATCTAGAAACTCCGACGCGAGAGCTGCTGATTTCGTAAACGTCACCAAACTTTTGGAACACATCACCGACCACTGCTACGAACTTCTTGAGGTACTTATCATATGGAACGCTCTTAAGACGTCTCGCAAAGTGCTCGGCGCTGAAATGCTCATGTCAGAAGAGGCACAGACGTTCGAGACTAGAACAAAGCTAGTATTGATCGAGGGTGTACGGTCGCTGGACGACATGTCCAAAAACAAGGAGGGCAAGCCGCTGATACCGGCATATGTGCGCTACATCAAGGATACTGTTGATAAGACCCAAGGAGAAAGTTACGCATAAGAGGACTGGGCGTCAGAGCCAGCGCTGTGGTTGAGAAGCTGCTGTGTAAGCGATAGCATGTATCATAACACTGGACGAATAAGGGCCGCATCTTTGCCAGTCTAGAACTGTAAATGTATATCAACTCGAAGACTACCCAGAATGCACCCCTCTCCGATGGACATCGTATGCTGCCAGTAGATCGAGGTCATCGAAGACAGAGATGTCGTAATATATTGTTGAACAAACGTCATGCAGCACGGCAAACAGCGTGCCCATTCATTCCATCCCCATTGACCCAGCTATCTGACTTCTCCATAGAAGATAGCGCAGAGCCGCACCTATCCGCCGCTCACCCGACGCACCTGCCCAAGTCACATGCATCGTGTGGCACCAGCAAACAGCCTCGTCGCTCCTACCTCGCTCTTACCCCGCCCCCGCTTTTGTGCCTTATAGCCTGCGTGCCCCGCCACCTTTTCTTCCCTTAGCCTCAATCACGCCATATCCGCCAAATCAGCATTCACGACCATGGTCCAGGTACGCCCCAGGATTTTTATATGGGTTTCCTAATGCGGTAGACTATGTCGATATGTAAACTGGATTTGGTCGAGTAGGGCTGACGATGCGCTAGAAGCTTGAGTACTCGGTTGAGGAGCCGCTGAATCGCGAGCCGGAGCTTGAGAAGCTGGTTGAAAGGTACGTCTAGTGTTTGTTATGTGTGAGGGTGAAGGATACTGGGTTGGGAAGAGACGATGGGAGGCCCTAGTAGGGGACCAGCCGTTCACGCACGGGTGACGGCGTCCTGACGGTGGGCTCAGTCGATCATGACCCTTGGATCCAGAATACCCACAGTCCAGTTTCAAGATCCATACGCAGCCACAATACTAACACAGTGAACAGCTTCATCACCAAAGACGGCTACGACCGCAATCACGGCCCCATTCCCCACATCAATGCGAGCACACACAAAGTCTCCGTCACAGGACTCGTCAACAATGAACTCTCGCTTTCTATTGCAGACCTCGAAGCACTTCCGCAACACACCGTAATATGCGCACTACAATGCGCCGGAAACCGTCGTCACACCATGCGTACAAAGTTGAAGGAGGTGTCCGGAATTGACTGGTTTGATGGCGCAGTCATGAATTGCAAATGGACAGGCCCCCTCCTCAAAGATGTTCTGGAGAAAGCTGGTGTCAAGGTCGATGAAAACAAGCTCAGCGAAGCGCATGTGGCTTTCTCGTGCTACCAGACGCCTACCCAAGACGACGAGTTCTACGGTGCCAGTATCTCACTATCACGTGCCATGGATCGTGAGAGTTCGATTTTACTTGCCCTACAAATGAACGACAAGCCTCTTCCACCAAACCACGGTGCTCCGGTCCGCGTCGTCACTCCTGGTATCGCTGGAGCGAGGAGCGTCAAGTGGCTTGACTCCATTTCCGTCCAACTGACCGAGAGTCAAAGTCACTATCAGCAGCACGACTACAAAGTCCTACCTCCAGAGGTCGATTCGAAAGAAAAGGCGGAGGAGTATTGGGGCCAGGTCGATGCACTTCAAGACATGCCGGTCAACAGCGTCGTTGGAATTCCCAAATCGGGTAGTACCGTGCAGCGAGACGCAGATGAGACGATTGAAGTCAAGGGCTATGCACTGCCTAGTGGAGCGGATGGACCCATTGTCAAAGTCGAAGTCAGTGTCGATGGAGGAGCAACATGGACAGAAGCAGAGTTGATCACAGCCTATGAGGGCGAGGATGCTCAGGATGTTGAACTCAAGTGGGCGTGGGCATTATGGAAGACAAGAGTCAAAGTTGAGAAGGGCAAGGATGTTGCGCTATACAGTCGGGCGACAGACATGAGCGGCAATGTGCAGGAGAAGTGTCCGAAGTGGAACTTCCGCGGCGTGGCATATAATGGGTATGGGGAGGCTTCTGGTTTGGAGATTGTCTGAAGGTAATAGTAGGATGGATGAACGGACGGTGTGGTAGATTGGACTGATTGTGTGCTTTTGGTGTTTATATGGCAAGTAGCGTGGCCTGACTTTCGCCAGCGATACAAGTTCAACCTTGTAGCATTAGATGAACCTTAACATCACATGAACGTTATCGCTTGTGGGATATTGTTCCTGAAAGATTCATGATACTTTTCTCTGAATATGACCTACAAATACCCAGCACCGAAAAGACTCCTATTACGCTATGCATCCATTATTCGTGATTTCCAACCTTGTCTCAAATCCATCACAGCCCCAGACTCTTCCGCACATTCGTCCGTACAATCTTCTCATACTCGTCGCGCTTCTCCCGCCACATGCGCGCCGCATCTACATTGGCTGGACTCTCGTCATTCGGCTCCGCCAACATGCTCATGACGCTTATCAGGATCTTCTCGACACTTTGTATGGGCGACCATCGTTCCGAGGCTTGTTCGTAGTGCATGGGGTCTTCGCCGGGGGCGTGGAGGATGGATATACAGACTTCGCCGTTGGGGTATACTGTTGGTGGTGTTAGCTTCAGTGCTTCAAAACTCATGCTTCTCGCATCTTGCACATATGAATGAGAGTGTCTAGTGCAAGATCGCAAACATGTCCCACATTGTCAAACATACCATTTGGATGCCACATCTCCGTCATAAACTTCATCTTTGGCGGCGCAAGCGGGTAGTCTTTCGGGAACCGTAATTCAGCGGGGAAGACGCCGCCTTCAAAGGGCGTGCCTTCCGGGCCTTGGATCAGCGCTTCCCATACGAACATGTCGTCTTCGCTGACCGGGCCAGCGGTGATGCCTTCTGGCGGGTCGTTCGAGAGCATGCGGTATTCTTTGAAGAGGCGCTTGGAAGCTGAGGACGCCATGTTGTGTGTTGATCGGAAGCGGGGGTATACGGGCGGAGGTGAGGGGGTCGCTCGTGTGCGCGGGGTGGGTTTGGGTTGCGGAAGGTCGGAGTCTTGGTCGCGAAGTAGGAGTGTCTGTTCGGAAGCGAGTTGTAAAGCGCGCTGTGCTTCCAACTATGCAGGTTGAGCGAGGGGATAGTGTCTTTGTTGGTTGAGTGAAAGCGTTCCGGACGGTGAATGACGACGGTTCCGACACGTCGGCTTTGGAGACGCGGTTTAGCGCCTGGGCACGTGCCCAATCCCTTGCTATCCACGTGGGCCGGTACACACATGGCAAGCACGAAGAATTACACCTGACACAGCTATTGTGTGCTCCAGGGCTTGTCATCACTCGAAATTTGCACACAGCCACCTGGTGAAGTTTGAGCTGAAGCGTTATATCGGAAATGGAGAATTTATCACAAACAGCCTTGAGGTATCATCATCTATCGCTAACCAAAAACTTCAATCATGAACCTATACTCAAGCTTCCTACCCTCGTTCCTCGCCCTCGCACTCAGCATGCTGCACTGATCGGCAATCTGCTGGCCTATGACAGGCGGACCGCAGAAGAACACACCAATCTTGATCTCATCATCCTTATTACCATCTTTCTCGTTCAAACGATCTGCCAACATCTTGCTCATATCGTCGTAGTGCGCTTCCATAATGCCCCGAATGTCCGGACGTCCGAAATGTGTTGGGTTGACAAGACCAGTGATGGGTGATTGCGGGTGCTCATCTGTGCGATGCTTTTCGAGCAGCCATCGGAATACGTGTTGGGAAATCTGCTTGCGCTTCTGCGTTACGTAGGTGTTGATGCGAATGTCGAGATCTTCGCTGTTTGGTTGCTGACGGAAGACTTCGTTGAGAAGATCGGAAAACCAGAGGAGGTTGTTCTTGTCGCGGACCATCCAATGTAGGTCGACTCGACGATGGTTCGTGTACGGCGAAGGCTCTTTGGGCGTTTCGTCGCGTGAGGCTGGGGAGTCGTTTGCGGACTTGACACGCTCGAGCTCGTGGTGTTGGAGATCCGTAAGCACACCCGAGAAAGGCGTTATGCCAATACCGGCACTATGGCATGTTAGCAAAGTTCCCGAAGAGACAAAGGCGATGACTTACCCAAAGACCATGCTGTACTCGAAGTCATAGAACCGCTGAGCTGGTGCACCAAATGGCCCATCAAGACCGATCTTGATAGTCTTTCGTCCGCCTTCTTTGGCCAGATCGCGGAGCGAGTTTGTCCAGTCACCGTCTGCTTTGATGTGAACTTGCATGGTGTTGTTGATGCAAGTTGACACGGTAAACGGATGCCACTGGAATCGGGATAGCTGCGGGACCTGCACAAATACGTATTGGCCAGCTTTGTAGTCCCACGGGCGAGTCTTGGGTACTTGCGCAGTAATGGCAACAGTCTCGTCATCTAGTAACTCAAGATCCGCATGAATAGGGCGGAAGCTCAGGATCAAGCGCCACACACGTTCGCAGAGAACCATGAGAGTAGGGAAAGCGAGCCAGTAGCCAAACATGGGCCACTGCAGCAGATGAGCAGTACCGTGCGCCATCATGAAGCCGATAATGGGAAACATGAGTAGATGAGCTAGCTGGAATACCTCATAGCTCCACTTTCGTATCTGGGGCATGCTCATCAGTGCGAGGAGATAGAACAAGCCGAGAGATGTGAGACCGGTCCACCCTGGCAATGACCGAAGGTAGTCAGTATATGACCGTGGTACAGCGTCCTGTCCGATAACATTGGCAACTGCATCCTGTCGATTGGGCTTGCTGCCGAAGACAAAAGAGCCGCTGAGGTGGCCAATGGCATGTATGGTCGCGAATACCAATGCGACGATGGACATCTTGATGTGAAAACTCTGCGACAGGTCCCAGTTGATGAACCTGGAGATGAAGTAGAAGCGCCGAAGGAACGTCGAGAGCCATCGCGACATTGATAGAATGAGGAAGAAGAAGGTTGGGTACAGCACACCGGCACAAGTCTTGGATAAGACAGCTCCCCATCCGAACGCAGGGGTATACTGATCGAAGGTAAGGTACTTGACGAACTGCCAGACACCAAATCCTATCATCAAGGCTAGCACTAGGCCAAGGAACATGATCTCAGGTCCTTTGACTGCCCAGTAAGCACGCGCACGTCGGTGGAGGGGCACCTGCTTCAGGTAATCATCCTCGTCTTTTGCTTCTTTCCGGTCTTGCTCCAAGGACGGTATCTCCCATGTCTTGACAGTCTTTGCGAAGGTTTCTCGGTTGATGTGGTCGTCTCGTGTTCCGATGACATTCCTGAGAAACTCATGCCGAGCCTCGTCGCCCCGAGATCCATGGTGGAGGTTGTGTGGTTGCGCTTTGGGTGCTATCTCCTTGTGTACTTGATCCAGCTTGCGTTCCAGCTCCCAGTAGTCGACATTGCCATCTTTGTCGTGATCGAGATCGTCAATGAACTTCTTGATTTCGTCATCCGTAAGGGGCTGTTGCAGAGCCATCGACGTCCGAGGAGCGCTGGGATAGGGTATGATCTGCTTGGGAGTAGGTGGTGGATCAGCTGCCACATGTGGCTCAACGGCAACGATAGCCTTTAAGGCTTCCCTTGGTCAGTTCCCTGATCAGCTCATTTGTTTGTTGATGGTCCAGGCACGTAGGCCAAGGCCTTGCGATGAAGTGTCGCCAATAAGAAGAATCCATGAATGTGATACCAAGGTGACAAGAGAATCCAAGACGGAGTTGGCGCCGGCGGACGCAACTTGTAACCCTGGCGGAGCGGAACCTGCTTCCCATCGCACTCTCCGCCTGCTGCACAGCCACTCAGCGGTGCGACCAAGACTTCCGCCCAGGTGTTTTGGGTTCTGATCATGCAAGCTTGCGCGTCAGATAAGGACATGTGGAGGAGGTCTTCAGCCACGAGCTGCACTGGCATCGCCGCATCCGACGTCGAAAACAAGATCTAGAACCAAAGGTCTTTTTGTGCGCTATGCGGATGATAGCAGTGGTGGCATGGCATCTTCCGTGGTTTGTGCAGCCCGTCCATACGATCCCTCATATGACGACCTAGTTGCGATTGCGACATTGATGGGATCCGTGATCGTCCCGGGTTCAATTAGATCTTCATAAAGAGCGCATAACGGCTGACAAGACCCAGAAACTGGAGACGCGTTGAGGGTTGAGTGGCACGGTCCTGGTGTTGCCCAAGAAATGCAGGCTTGGCATGGAACAGTCGGCACGCGCGACCCATGGCTTCGTCATTGTGCTTTTTGCGCAACGCGTACCGCAATCCTTCACCGTTGTGTGATGGCCGAGACATTTTGCAAGCACCTCCAGATCGACCCACTCCCGGAAGCGTTCATATCTTCCCGCTTTTAGTCAGGGTCTTCTCTATCTGGCCTAAACGCTGGGTCACGACGTCATTGAAGCCCTGATGTGCCGTCTTTTTACTAGAGAACGAGTCGCCCTGCGCGCGTGGGCTTGCTAAGGCCCCGTAATCGACGATGCGTGCTCCTCTTTCTTTGCGCCACGAGATGCATCCACCCAAGCGTCCTTGTTCCCACGCGTCCAGCATCCTTCCGCTCCTTACCACGGAGCTCCCTCCGTCTCCGTGTTTACAACGACAATCTTCAATATGACCAGCATGACGGACGCCAGCACTCCCAGCCCAACTGCCAAGACTGGCTCCTCGATACAGCTCACCCATCGCAATGATCGCACCTTCCTCATGACTGTGGTCCAGTCTCTGGTACGACTAATGCGAACGCGCATCAGCAACCGTCAAGCAGACCACGAGGAAGGATCAATCCGACTCAAGCCAAAGCAATCGAACCTCTCCCAGTGTACCCTCCACGAACGAACCGTATGCGACATACACATATACGATGTCATACCACCCAACAAGGCAGAGAAGAGCTCGAAGAAGCGCATATACTATTTCGCTGGTGGCAGTTGGCAGGAACCGCCTTCTCCACAGCATTACAAAATATGCGCGAAGCTAGCCAAAGAAATGTCTGACACTTCGATATCGATTGTATCGACACCTCTTGCGCCCAACGACCCCGCGCACAAGTCGTTCCCTGTCTGCCAAAAGACATACCGGGCTTTGATGGCCGAAGCGGAAGAGGCTGGGGAGAAGGTTATACTGGCGGGCGACTCCTCGGGAGCGAATATTGCTCTGTGTCTTGTGCTGGAGGCCCTACGGGAGGATAGCGAGAACGAAGGCGTCGAGATCAAGCATCTCCCACACCCCGTCGCCATCATGAACGTATGCCCATCGACCGATTTAACTCGCGAAAACTCCGATATCGATGAAGTGGCACCTCGAGACCCTCTCCTCACACCCAAGATCATCAGGGCGACAGCGAAAGCATGGCAAGGAGACTGGGACGCTGCCGATCGCCGCATATCCCCTATCAATGCCGACATTTCACTACTCGCGAAGAAGGGCATCAAGGTGCACGGAATAACTGCTGGATGCGATGTGCTAAGCCCGGACGGCGTCATCTTTCGCAAGAAATGCGAGGAACACGGTGTCATTGGCGAGTGGGTTCATTGGGAGAAGCAAATGCACTGCTTCGTGCTGACCATGCCGTATGGACTGGTCGAGGCAAAGGATGCCTGCCAGTGGATCGTAGATGTCCTGAAGAAGGAATGAGTTGGGTGAGGATGTTTTGTGTCCGAGTAAGAGATACCCTTGCTTTCTATGCGTGCGCTACCGATTTAGGTATAATAATATCACAGCTTTCTAGCATATCCTCAAACTTGCAGATCACCCCTCGCGCTTTCATCCCCAATCCCATGTCATATACACTTCCCTCCTCTGGACGTCCGACTCCATACTTCACGCTACCATACCAAGGGTCCATCATCGGCTCGATCGGTCTCAGACTCGGCTCCCGCGGTGGGCAGGATGTGCTTGAGCAGGCATTCGGTGATTTGGTGCCGTGCGCTCGCCAACATCCTGCAAGACATACCTAAGCGTGGGTGAGGGTTGTGTTATCATTCGACCACCTGGCAACGCCTTCATAGCGGTTCGATCAGCAACGGCGCTGTGGAACATCTGGCGTGCGATAATGCACCTCAGTGTTTGAATGGGCAAGCTCCATCATCTTCAGCGCGTCTTCAGGGCCCGAACGCACGCAAATCTCGGGTTGTCGCGTGGCACTCACTCTCCACCAGAGTAAGCTCATCCACCGAGAACCTATACATGTCTTTCGCTTTCCGCGGCTTCGAACCACTCCCGAACGTCACAACCTCATCAGTCATATCCGGTTTCGACCTTTTCCGCCCCATCTCTACAAACTCGTCGCTGTTCGGGCCTAGGAATCCCAGGTCCACAAGCCGGTTTCGCACTTGGGTCTCGGTCTTCTCATCGTAGAAGTAGTGACCGGTCCTTACGAGGCTACGCTGCATAACTAAAGTAGGTGTCAGAAGTCGTCTAGCGTACCGTTCGCATACGTGTTACTTACTACCCTTGAGCGTTGGTATCGTGGCAGCGATCAACGCAAGCTCGAGTTCCAGCATCGACCACAGTGTAGGTGCGACTGTCATGAAAAAGGTGTCACCACCCGGTGGTATCATGCTGGCCTTGACAGTACGCAGGATAGCGAAGGATGAAGCGAACAGCCCAAGGCCCATCAGAACACCAAGGAAGATCTTTTCGCCACGCGGCCGCTGTAGTTTCCGGATAAAGGTTATCGGTATCAGCGAGAATATGAGGTCGGTCGAGATGTGCACAGCGCTCGCCGCAACGATGTTCCCAACGATGGCTTTTTGCGGCAAGCACTCCACTTTCTGCGTCAAAAAGATGCTGGGATCCCAGTATATGCTGAATGGCCGGCATTGCAGGAACTGAAACAGCGTCGAGGTTATAGTCGTGAGGATGAGTAGTACGATTGTAAAAGACAGGAAGATGCGCCAGGGACGTGTCTGCTTGATGCGGAGCAAGAGAAGGGCGACTGAGATTTTGACGAGTCCGATGGAAAAATTCCAGAGAGCTTGGCAATAGAAAACGAGTCGCATGGCTGCGAGACGCGAGTCTGCCGAGACATATTTTGTCCGCTGGCCGAAGCCATAGGAACATGCTAGGCATACGATGACATATTTCGCTATCGCAAGGATCTGTGGACATTCAAAATCAGCTTCCAGTGCGTTTGGAGTAGACTGCGCCTTACCGTCGCTGCAACCGCCGTCCAGTCATCCAGGTGCAGATTCCAGAAAGGACGCACTCTCGACCAAAGTCGTGCAGAAAGTAGCAGAACAGCGAAGAGGGTGAGACTCCCACATACACCGAGAAGAAGAGGCGCCTGAGTGTCGTTGCGCTCAGGACCGGGCATCAGCTGTCTAGATCGCAGCTCCATATCGCAAGAATAAAATAACGGAACAACGACTCCGCGACAAATTAGAAGAAAGAACTACCCTCAGACGCAGCGTTCACACCTCTCCTTCCTATACTACTGCACCGACTGTTTATCAGCATCTAGCCGCCATATCCCGTCATCGCCATCGCATAAACAAGCCTCGTCCCCAATCACACGACCCTTACTTCTCAGGCTTCCAAGCCACACGATCATCGTCTCATTAGCTAGCTTGGTTGGCTCGCTCTCTGACGTTCGCAAATACTGCCCTGTTGGCATAAAGTCGCCGCGTGTCAGATGTGTTTCGCGTAGTCGCTTTCATCCTTGTACCCCACAAACTTATGGTCTCGGATGTGATACCGAGTTCTGAGGGCTATGCAACTGTTGGTTCGTGTTTGAGGGCGGGGGGAGAGGTCAAATGGTTGGTGGCGGTGAAGGTCGGTGTGTGATGAAGATAGAGTTATGAAGGCACGGGAAGGACGCAATTCCGAACTTGACAAATATTCGCGTTTTACCAATACTACATCACAGTATTGACAGAGTTCGTTATGTCGCAGCATTAAGGAAACGTCGTATGCAAGGCTGTGGACATGGTGAGGGTCTTGCCAAGCCCACACTCAAGCCTCGTCCACATCGACTTAATCACCCATTTACTTCCTCACTCTTCCACATACGACCACAGGATCTTGAATTCAGCGCTTCCCGTTCGCTCAGCGGTACTTAAGCAAGATACCGGCGCATTAGTACTCGGGTGGGTGACCACCGGGGAATACGCGCTGTTGTATGTTTTTGCAAAAAATCTCTCTTTTTGCCGAATCGCCCTAGACCCACTTTGTCTTTTTTTGTCACCTCGAAGATATGGCTTCTATTCTATGCCGTTAACTACATTGTCGAGCAGATCAGCGGTGATGTACTCAGCAAGACGTCTACAGTCTGCCTGGGCAGTGGTAGAATGCTTCAACACATCCGGGCATAGCTAGACAGCACGCATCTAGACTTCCAAGGTGAAGCAACAAGGCCACCTGTCTCCAGGTCAGGTTTTGCCTGAAAATACTTCTCGCAGACATTGCCACTACCATCTCCTTGAGTACCGGCTGATGGGGTTGGGCCGCAAAGCATCGTTGAGACTGTTGATTGTACCGCTCCGGTGTGTCATCGAAGAGTCTTGCATCTCACCGCTGAGATTGCTTCCAAAGACCGCGACGTTACCAGTTGTGCTTCAGTGTCCATAGCGTTTTGGTAGGGTGATGTAGTTCGATCAACAAATCTACAGCTGCTAATAGCAACCAGCAGATTGCGCAACCAGACTAAGCGACAGTGTTTCCATGTCACCTGGCGATTAGCGGTACCTTCACGGCGCTGAGCTGTGGCATCATTGGTGCTGAGCCTGGTGGCTAAGTAGCGAGCACCTGGCGATTGATCCCACTCTCAAATATTTTTAGCTTGTGTCAATCCCGCCAGTGCTGCATCGCTGCTGGTCTGAGTCTACGATTCTTCGACGCGATTGTACTCGACAGGGAGCTTCCTCGCGCTACGTATACACAGACGTCCAGCGACATGTGTTCCTGCTCTTCTGTTGGATTGCGGAATCGCATCGGAGCTTCGGTTGATCTGAAGTGTAGCGTTTACCGGCGCGTTCATTGTGGCATTTCGAGTTGGAGTCGTTCGATCCAGAGCGGATGTGGATGAACTCCATTGTTGGAGCAAAGTTGGAGGTGAGATCGAGCATACTTAGGTAAGGGCCCAGGATGACGTACGTGATCACACGTGGAGCGCGAGTTAGGTTTAGCGGTACTCGGTCTGAGTTTCCTAATTTCCCGACGAGAGCTGCAACACCAACACAGCTGTTGCTCACAGACAACGCAATGCGATCATCAGGGTTCTCCTTGCTCGGACCATTACGCGTTGAATTCCCTTCTTTGCAATCCCGGGTGAAAACTTCGCGTCGTGGTCAGCCTCGTCTTCGCCGGCTGTGCCTCCAACACGCGTTACAATGTACCGAGATGCACGCGCAAGGCTAATATCAGACGTCCCACCCCAGGCCCCGGCTCAACCCTTCGTTCGAATACACCCCGTATCCCACCTGCACTACCAACCGGAGGTCACGGCTCCAATTTAGTACAGCATGGATGTACCGTCGACGTTACCCCGCAGCCACCTGCAGTCGGCTGTAATCATGCATATCACCGCAACACCAGAGCTTTAGAGCCAGACTATCGCCCTTCTAGGAGATGATGGACGGTACAAGATGACTTAAGAATACTACCTGAATTGCTTATGCGGCAGGTAGCATGGTCTTGGAGCATCGCGTCACTGCCAAGCGTGATGGAACGGAAGGGATATATAGTTCGTGTGGGGAAGCGCGATGGAGAATCTGCGTAGTCGATGTTTACCTTGTCTGCTTTCACCAAGAGTGTTCCGGATCAGCTACAACCATGGGCATTCCTTCCGTGAAGCAGGCGTCAGCTCTATTGCTAGGTGTATTCATAACATCTACGAGCGCGCAGTACAATTCCTCGCAACCACAGAAAAGCGGTTATCAATATGTTGATCCTCTCATCGGGACGATCAATGGAGGTACGGTCATGGTTCTTTGGAAGAACGATGATAATCGGCTGACCACACATAGGGCACGTATTCCCTGGCGCGACATTGCCATTCGGTATGTGATTACCTCTCAGATACAAGTCAACGCCTACTGACAGCTGCGAGGGATGGCCAAAGCGGGGCCTGACGTGATCGGCGAAAACCAAGGAGGATTCTCCTCTAACGACTCAGAACCTATTTACGGTTTCTCGCATATGCACGACTCTGGAACGGGTGGCTCGCCGTCACTTGGCAATTTCCCAATCTTTGCGCAGGCCGGGTGCGAGAACGACGACATCAACGGATGCCACTACTTCGAATCACAACGAGCTGTCGAGCGTATACCTGGGGCTGTTCATGCCAGACCTGGCTACTTCGACATCACACTGAAAGACAACATCAGGACGGAATCGACGGTCACGAATCGCACAGCTCTATATCGTATCACCTTTCCCGAAACGCCGACGGCGCCGAACGCGACGCTGAGTCCGCACATTTTGCTTGATCTAACAGATCTACCGAACACAAGGAGCGAAGCAAACATCACCGTGAATGCCGAAACCGGGCGTATGACTGGTAGCGGAGTGTTCTCGCCATCGTTTGGAATCGGAACGTACAGGTCACATTTCTGCCTTGACTTTGATGGTGCAAAGATCAAAGATGCTGGCGTTTGGCAGAACACGCGTGCGACAAACAGGGCAACCAGTCTGAATGTCGTTCCTGGCGATGTGCGACAATCACCCGTTCTCACACCAGCAGGTGGATGGGTGCAATTTGAGAAGCCCACCCAGGGTAATCAGATCCTTGCAAGAGTTGGAATGAGTTTTGTGAGCGAGGATCAGGCATGTGCGAATGCTGAACGCGAGATACCCTCGTGGGGATTTGATGATGTCGTTGCGGCTGCCGAGGCTGCATGGCGCTCCAAGCTAGACGTCATTACGGTTGAAGACGGCGGTGTTGATCTCGTCTTCCTCAAGGCTTTCTGGAGTGGCGTGTACAGATCCATGATCAGCCCACAAGACTACACTGGCGAAAATCCCCTTTGGGAGTCTGACGAGCCCTACTACGACTCCTACTACTGCATCTGGGACAGCTTCAGGTCGATCCATCCACTGATCACGATCCTGGATCCCCACAGCCAAACGCTCATGATAAGAAGTCTGCTCGATATCTACCGTCATGAAGGATGGCTGCCAGATTGCCGCATGAGCTTCTGCAAAGGATTCACGCAAGGAGGCTCGAACGCTGACATTGTGATTACGGACGCACATCTGAAGAACATCACGACTGGCATTGACTGGACACTTGCATACGAGGCTCTCGTAAAGGATGCGGAAGTCGAACCACCCAACTGGGACGTTGAAGGTAAGATTGTGGTTACCAGACAGGCATAGATGCATAACTAACAACTGTCCAGGCCGCGGTGGTCTCGTATCGTGGAAGGAGTTAGGCTACATTCCCACCGAGAACCTTGACGTCGAAGGAGTAGGCACAGAGACACGCTCAATCTCCCGAACCGTTGAATACGCCTACAACGACTTTGTCATCGCTTTGCTAGCCCGCGAACTTGGCAACACAGCCGACTACCTGAAATACCTCGAGCGCTCCGGTAACTGGCAGAACATGTTCAAGGCCGATCAACGAAGTGTCATCAATGGTACTGATACCGGCTTCGAAGGCTTCTTGCAGCCGAAATTCCTCAACGGCACCTGGGGCTCTCAGGATCCGATCTTCTGCTCACCACTACTTAATTTCACTGGCTGCTACCTGAACCCCGCAGGTGGCGAGACATACGAAGGTCCTGTCTGGCTGTACACCTTCTTCGCTCCAGGAGATATGGCCACGCTCATCCAAACTCTTGGAGGCCGCGAGCGCTTCGTCGAACGCATGAACTGGTTGCACGAATCTGGTGTCCTATACCTCGGCGACGAACAGGCGTTCCTCAACGTATTTCTATACCACTATGCCGGTCGCCCCGCTCTCTCCGCTGAGCGCGCCCATCAATACATACCCTCATTGTTCAACGACACCGTCGTCGGCATCCCGGGTAATGACGATAGTGGCGCCATGGGCTCTTTC